AATTTTATGATCGGCAAACGAGAAATTAGGAGGAATTTAAAGTATTGAGCTTTTAAGTTTCCTACACAGATTGTGTTACATCGTTGTTAGAAAGACTTTCAAATGTTTTCTGTACTTTTTATTTGATAGCTTAATATACACTATCATGAAAATTCGTCCATATCAAAGCTAAGATATGAAGAAATAGAAAAATGTTTTTAAAAAAATTAGCTTAAATAAGCTTTTAATATTTGAAATAATACCAAATTCGAATTTCTCTTTCCAAGCATTTTCAGACTAATTAAATTTTAATAATTGTGATAGAGTGAAATTTGCATTCAATTTTTTAGTCAGGCTATTTTTTCATTATTATTTCTTCAAAATTAAAAGACTTCTTTATGAAGTCTTTTAATTTTTTTATGAAAGAATCGGCCGAAATTTTTAAACATCCTGAAGGATTTGTTAATTAAATATTGAAGCTTAAAGATTTTAATGTGAACCAAGTTAAAATTATAGTTGTAATATGCTCTAATTATTTTAATAACTCATATTAATATTCAAAACGTCATCGTAACAGCTCTCTTTAAAACTTCGAAATCCACGAGAGTGCATGAAAAATTGCTACTCATTTCCTTTTGAATGGATTTCCTGCTTCAACACTGCATCCGAATTGTTAAATATGATCGAAAATATAGTCATTTCAAATTAACTGTTCTACTCGCCTGCTCTCCACCGACTTATCGATCAGATATTTATTTTTAGTGTGTGTATACAAGTTTGTTTATGGTTTTCAAAATAAATATATTTTCTTTTTTTAATTTGTTGAAACTTTACTTTTTCATAAAAAAACTTCACTCTTTCATACGTCAAGTTTATTCATTCCTCATTTTTATATATTAGTTATTTGATAAATGATAAATATTCATATTTTTAATATCGTATAATCATTGCATATAAATAAGATTTAATTAAAGTTTCAAATCAGTTCGTAAGTAGCATTACCACTGATTTCTGATTCATCATTAAATTATCTCATATATTTATAGCTGCTATGTTCATTAGTATGCTGTTATCCAATTATACTTTATCTCATAGCACTTTAATTAATTAGACTCATAAAAAACAAGACAATAGATTACTATAAAATTGTTTTAAATCGTTAATCTATATAAGAAAATGCTAGTAAAATTAATTTAAAATGGATAAGAAAACATAATATTAAAATTTTAGGCTATACTTGAGAGAAAGAAAAATGAATAACATAATATTATCATGTTAAAATAATATTATCATGAAAGAACCTCAAAAAATCATTTGAATGAATATTTTGGAACAAATTTTAAATCACAAAACGTTTAATGTAAGATGTTTGCTAAATATTACACTTTTTAAAATATATTCCGATAATTTAATTAATCTAAATGAATGAAAATTATTGAAAATTTCAAATTACTTCAACCGTTTGATCAAAAATAGTGTGAAATAAATAATCTCTATCCTATTTGTTCTTGATACATGTATCAAATATAAGAATTTCATTGTAAAAATTTCTGATTATCGATAATTGAGATGGTAGGGAAATATTTGTTGCATCTTTTCAAAGTGTTAACGAAAAATATAAATAAATATTACAAGTTTGTTTATTAATTGATGTCCAATTGTTGTAGGATAGCAGAAAGATTAAATGAATGGATGAATGAGTTGAATGAGAAGCTATTAATGAAGCTAATAACGTTACCTGCTCACCTTTCACCACATTCACTCACCGGTTGAGTTTTGCTCATTCGTACCTCATCCCTATGGTTACCGAATCTTCCTTATAACTCATAAAATCACTCCATACACTTTCATTTCATATTATTTGTTGTGGCAGTTGGAAAAATTCCACACCACTTGTTATAGCTATATTGCAAGTGAGAGAGAGCATTCTTAAAGCCTTTTTCATATCAACTAAATATCATTTCAAAAATTTCATTAAATTCATTAAATATTTTCTTTCTCAAAAGATGACAATATAAGTGGTATTGCAGAATAAATAGCGCAATTTCAGTTTATTATAATTCTAATTTTTTAAATGATAAGAAATATAAAGTATTATCTGTGAATGATTTCTAAATGAATATTTGGTACTCTGTGTGCTCTTCATGTTAAAATAATTTGTTGATTTATAATAAAAAAAGCTAATTGATTCAATTTTTTAAATTTAATGAGTAGGAGTGGAGAAATCTGAAGTGCTTTTATCCTCTGCCATATCCATCCATAAATTCATTTTCAATTCTAAATAGAGCTATTTATATCTTCGTGAGCAAGACTACTAATGAGATTTTCTATTTCAAATAATTAAATGTGTTAATATAAAATTTAATCGTAACATTTAAACTTCCTATTACATGAGTTTCTAAATCAAATGCACTGATAAACTATGCATTTTGATTATAATTCGAAAAGATTTTAATATGAATACTTTTATTAATATTTATACTTTAAAAGTTTAAATGAAATATAATTTCTAACAAATTTCGTCTTTCAGTCTTATTTATTTCAAAATTACTATTTTTCATAAAACATTTTTCAGTTTACATTTCAAGAACTTGAAAAACACAAATGTATCGAAATTCTTTTGTATTTGATCACATTTGCAAAATATAAGTTTGGCGAAAGAGTTTAGCTCCATTTATTAAATTTATTTCTTTTTATTCATTTGTCGTTTGTAACAAATTATTTGATTCTAACCTCCAGTAGGCATTAAAAATATTGATAGCTTTATATGCGAGGAACAAAATTCTATTCTCAACTTCGGTGTAATATAAAGAAAATTAAGATTGGTAGAATTGAATTCAATTAATTTACTTTAATAAGAAATACTTCAGAAAATATTTTACAAGTTTGGTTTTATAAAATTCTGCCTGCTTAATTCCATAAAAGATCTCAGCTATATTAACAAATAAGGAAAATTTTTTTTAAAGCATTTACTGAAATCGGTGGTTAACTTTAAATCAAAATTTTCTAGCGAAATGATTCATTTTGTGATATATGATGATTAATCTTATTTTATAATTTCTTATTTTGAGGTGTATTTGCAATGAAAATTGGGATTGTCAGAAGAAGCTATGCACTTCAAGTTATTTATAACTGTTTTAAAATTATTTAAAATTAATTTAAAAACTTATTACTTCACATGCGCTATCAGTAATGATTTCCACTTCGAACAGTAATGGAAGCACCATTCCCAACTTTTTTTGTAATGCCAACATTTGTGATAAAATCAGTGGACATTTAATGGAATATATTAAATAGTAAATATTATCGATGATTTCAGTAAATTTATTTTCTAATCTTTTTGAAAAATAATTCTAATTTGCTGACACTTTTTAGAATTTATAATTTTTATGAATCAATTCAAATTAAAATTCTATTAATTTACTAATTTTCTAGAATTCTGGAATTTGTAACTTTCGTGAATCAATTAAAATTGAAATTCCAATTAATAGAATTTCAAATCTAGTATTATGATTTTGATTGTAGGACATTATCTTACAGGTGGAAGCAAATACTTTTCTGTAATTAATTGAATTAAGAAAGGAACCAATCCTTTTGTGATAATTTCTCAGATCACAACCACAGCACGAATACGCAATGTTTACAGCCTATTATAATATTATTCCTATGGATAAAAAATTTTTTTTATAATCTCTTTTTTTAAATATAAACAATATTTGCCTAAAACTATGAATTCAGCTTAATTAATAGATTAATTTTTGAGAATGATATTTTAGGTTATTTGATAAAGGTGATAATCTGATTCTTACCTTATATAATCTCATCCTAAAACAAATTTAAAAGCTTGAAAAGCTCAATCTGAGATTTTAAACATTAGAAAGATGAAAGTTGTTTTTCAAGAAATTTGTTTTGATCACTTGAAAATCATTTGAGTACAAATAATATCAACAACAAACATTTTGCTTTATTACGGTTTACTTATTTTCCAAATTCTGACATTTTGCTATGATTTTTTCAAAAACCGTCAGTTATTTATAATGATTGATTTATTGTTTTATCCTGTATAATCGTTAAAAAGTAGTCCCTTTAGGCTTTATACTATTTTCAATCTATCATTCTCGTATCATTTAATCTTACCGCTTTTATCTGTTTAGTTCATTTGCTACAAAGATGAGTTTTCGTTCTTTTATCAATTAATTTAGCAAAATTTTGTCAGATGATCATAAGTTGATCGATCAGAACGAAGGTTGCTTATCAATGTTTGCTAAAGCTGTGACTAAAATTAGTGACAGCAATTTGTCTTTTCATGAAGCAAATGATTTCTAACGCGTTCTAATAAGTTAATTTAAAATTTGTAGATCATACCAAAGCAAAAAAACAGAAAAAACTTTTTTATTTCTGCTTCCATTTGCCAATTTATTTTCTGATGCAAGCTTTAATCTTTAACAATTTACTACTAATTTATTGAACTTGCCAACTTTCATTAATCACCTTTCAAATTTTTCAATTCTTTCTTATTTGCTAGTCTATGTGTCTGTTTGTCTATTTAATCATAGATTTACGCAAAATAAGTAATGCAATAAGCCACATTTCAGTTGACTTTCCGTTACTAAGGTACTGCACAATCGGTAGCAATTTGTGAGAAGCGAAATCTAATACATTTTTTTATCTTTGCATGTTATATTTCAATAAATTGAACGTCTGTTCACTTCCTACACCTCAAATTTCATTTTTTTTTTACTGTTTTTCCGGATAATTACTCTCTTCTTCCAATAAAATATTCTCTCCATTTAATCATTTCAATCATTTCTTTTTACAAAATTCTTCTCCATTCTTCAGCAGGACATTTTTGCTATACATTTAAAATGATGAAAAAATTTAATAAAATAGTGTAATTTTAGGTTGTGAATTGTATCGAAATAGCTTATGTAAGTCAAGCCTGAAGTGTAATAGCTAATTATCTATTAAAAGGGGCCTTTCTAATTTGGCGAGAATATAAGTTTGTATATAAATGCGAAACGATGGGTTCATGTCAGAGTCAAGAAGCTCAGGAGCAGCTCGCTCGGAATAAAGCTATCGAAAAGCAACTCAATCAGGATAAGCGTACTGGCTCTTCGATCGTCAAACTGTTATTACTCGGTTCGTTTTCTTTCATCTTTTTAATCCTATTATCACATATTTTTGCATCCATTTGTTGGTTAATTTATAAATCATTCATAATTAATTAACAATGGAAAATTTAAATTGCGTGACTTTGAAAATAAATTTTTAATATTTTGATTAAAAAAAAAAAGCATCGGAATGAGCAATTTGTTAATGAATGTTTTTATTTTTCTCTTTTCTAAATTTGCACTTTATATTTTATTTTTTTCTCCTTACATATAATTTTAAAAAATAATTTGTAGGAAAATGAAAAAACATATTGCTTTCTTCCACTTTTCATCTTTTTTCTTTTTATACAAATTTTCTGCTAATTTTTTTTCATTGCAAAATAATTAAAATTAATTGACGATAAACATAGTACTTGCAGGCATTCATATACTCATAGTACAAGGAACGGAAAAGAAAAACACTTATGGCGCACTTTTAAGTTATCCGGTTCCAGTTTATGGTTAAACAAGAAAATATCTGATCATTGCTCTCTGTTGCATGCTTGAAAAAAATTAATTTCATATTTTGATAAAATTTAAAATCAATATATATACATATATATATAGATGTAAATTTTTTGCAATGGACTTTACTGAAATAGTGATTCGGAATTTTCTTCGAGCTTTTACGAATGCAATCATTGATCTGATCAAATTGGATATATTCAAGTCTCGCGATCTCGAGAAGGTAAGGAGAGTGAAGGAGAGAAAAGAGGCAGAAATTATGGTTGATTTACAATAAACAAATGCATTGCATCAACTGATTATCAGTAAAATGTCATCATATTTTCATTTTTATAACAGATTTCGAACAAAATTTTGGCACATATACAAATTTTGAATTGTAATAGTTATAAGTTTACCATCACAGTCATGATATTCTTTATAATAACCACAATCATAGTAATCATAATATTTCCTGTAATAATATATCAATTACAAATTTCATTATTGTAACTATGACATATGTTATAGTTAATCATGATATTTCCTCTTGCAATAATTAGATATGAACATATACTTATATTGATTATTTCTATGGATTAAAAAAAAGATCAAAAATGTTAATATTGGCTGTAATAAACGATGCAATTTGATTATTCATAAAAATTCATTTAAAAAGAAGAAATTTGCAATTTCTTGAAAGCATTTAACGATTTATCGATTTAGCAATATTATCGATTTCAACAATCATTTTAAAAAATTCCAGTAACAATACTGTTTAATACTTTTGTATAATTGAACTAATTTCTGATATTATCAATAATATATGAGGATTTATCTTTCATACGCTCTTTCTTCGTAAATCGCAAATCGTAATTGAACTAATAATAAATGCAACAGCCTTTTTTTTTTGAAACTTAACATTTCCAGTAATTTATCAAAGAAGTTTTTGCAAATGTGAAAAATTGTTCTTGAAAAAATTTCATCGTATACAAATTTATTCGAAAAATCAAAATGTTTCAGTAATACGAAAAGAATTATCGTACATAAAATTTATCAACTTTATTTTGGAAGATTTATGTAATTAAAAATTTATATTACACGATTGCATAATTTCGGAATTTAAATCTGACTAACATAACAAAACAATTTTTAAAAACAATCATAGAAATAGCAAACTATGCATCAATAAAAAAAACGAAAAAAGAAATAGATGAATCCGAAAAAATGTAATGCATTTGTTTTTGAATAAATTTATTCACCCGCTTGTTTTGAAATTTTATAGCAAATAGAATGATCAAAACAGTAAGCAATTGCAAATGAAAATTCAAAAAAAAGTGCAAATCAAGAAAATTTTTGATATTTTTTCCTAGTAAAATTATCATCAAGAATCCGAAACTAAGAATATTTTTTTCAAATTTCGGAAAGAATTTTAAATTTTACTTAATTTGCTGTTATCTAGATTAAAATTTAGTTATGAAAATTAAATTGAATAAGCACATAAAATATTTTTTAAATAATTTATTAAATGCTTGTTATGATAAACGATCAGAAATGTGAAAAAGATCAGTCATTTTTTACCACGTTCATTGAAAAGGCTGCATGTTATTAATAACATGGAAAATTTCATATTTTGTAACATATTTGAATAAAATTCAAAATTTCTCATTAACCAATAAATTATCATCTTTTTATGGTTTCATTTATGCAGTGTTCGAAAATGCTAAAACTTGACAACTTCAAACTTCTAAAAATTAAAATTGAAAAATTTTTTTTCTACTAAATCATTGTCTTTTATGAGACAATTTTGTTTAGTTAATTTTTTTTCGTCTTGAAGAAATATGATTTTTTTTTCTTTGACAACACTAAATATATAAACTTACACATATAATGCTTAAAAATTTAATCAACTAAAATACAGGGCAAATTTTTTCAATTTAATTTTATTGTTTTGTTAAGTTTAAATTTTGTTTTTTTTTTATTTTTACATTGACAAATATGATTTCCATCCCATCGTTCATGAATAAATGATCAGTTTTTTTTTCTTTTCAGATACAAAAATATCTATTGACCAAAAAAAAAATGCCAATAGGGGATCATTTTGATGAATTTTTACATTGCATTGAAAAAATTTTAACTTTTTATCTTTGCGGTATATGTTTAGCAATTTTATTATTTAACCTTATAATTTTTTTTCCATCAGAAAAATTTCATTTATGCAACGAAAAAAAAACTTTTAGTCTTACTCCTTTTCACGATATTATCATTGTATTTTGTACAGTACAGTATTATCAAACAAAAAGAAATGCAAACAGAGAAAAATAGAAAATTTAATTTTAAATTTTGATAATTTAGTAAATAATGCAAATTTTTAAATTATGCCATATACAATTTTTAATATCATACATTCATGCATAATGTGATAATTCATTCCTTCAAACATTTTCAATATTTAACAAATCACTAATTACAAGTACATCATAAATACAATGGAATAATATAACTATTAATATACCATACAAAAATTTTCTTCTCTTACTTTAAAAAGAATTATTAATTTTTATTTCTAATTTTTATAAATTCCTTTTTCCAGGCTTAATTTTTAAAAATTCAATCATATTATTTCAAAATGAAATAAATAATTTATTTCGTATTAAACAGAAATATGCAATAATA